CTTGGAGGCAAGGATTCTGAAGCTTTATCTGGTATGCTTTGGACATGTTGTAAGGAGGGACTGGTCCTTGGGGAGGGACATCATGCTTGGGAGGGTGGAGGGACAGCAGAGGAGAGGAAGACCCTCTATGAGGTGGATTGATTCAGTGACTGGGGTAATGGGGGTAGGTGTGTCAGAGACAGTGAGATTGGCACAGGATAGAGCAGGGTTTAGGGCTGTTGTACTTTGGGTCACTATGTGTCACAGGCGGCTTGACAGCACATAACAGTAACAATTGTTAATTTAGTCCTTTAGCTATACCAGTCACAATTCATGCTCTCAGTAGTCACATATGCTGACTGTATTGGAGAATGTGGCTTTATTTCCATCATTACACACTTGTCTATTGGACAGCAAGGAGTTCAAGAATTTCTCTGTCCCAGTTGTCTTGTAATGTAAAGAGAAAGTTGCTTATTTTCTTGTCCTCTTCCTGGATGTTTCTTAGTATATTTTTTATCTTTTTTTTTTTTTAATACATTAAGCTTAGTTCATCTTTTCTTTGTAGGCTCATTTCAGCCAGAGTTTCCCACCTGGCAGCAATGAGCTAGACCTCTCAGCCCTTCCCTATAAGCATTGATCCTCAGCTTATTTGTCTTCCACTACCCCTGCACAGTTTAAGACCTCAGGAAGAGAGAGGATAGTAATTGGCATGTTTCAACTAACAGATGTAACCTTAGATATCTCGGGAAATGTGGAGGATAGCTGTCTGGCCAACTTACTGGAAGAGACCCATATTTGTTTCCATTCCCCAGAAACATGGTCCAAAAGAATGTGAAAATTTAAAAAAAAAAAAAAAGAATGTGAAAATTTTCAAAATATCAGTACTGTCTCATGGAAACAAAATATTGATGAAAATCATCCCGAAACAACTGGAACAGTTGACAAGAAATTACCAGAAATTCAGGCTGGATTTAGAAGAAACTGTGGCACCAGAGATATTATTGCTTAAGTCAGAAAGATCCTGGCTGAAGGCAGAGGATACCAGAAGAATTTTATTTTATTAAGTATTTTATTGACTTTACAAAGGCATTTGATAAGATCATAACAAATTATGGCTAACATTGAGAAGAATGCAAATCCCAGAACACTTAATTGTGCTTACACAAAATCTTTACCCTAGACCAAGATGTTGTCTGAAAGGAACAAGGGAACACTGAATGGCTTACAATCTGAAAGTCTGTGTATCAGGGATATATTTTTTTTATCCATTACTCTTTAATGTGTATGTTGAGAAATTAATTCGAAAAGCTGAACTTTTTGCTGAGAGCTATGTGATCAGAATTGGAGAAACATTTATTTTAACAACCTGCCTTATGCATATGACACAACCTTGTTTGCTGAAAGTAAGGACTGAAGTAGTACTTGCTGCAGAAGATTAAAGACTACTTCAATGTGGATTACATCTCAACATCATGTAATCAAAGGTCCTTAACCACTAGGCCAATAGGCAACATCATATCATGATAGATGGAGAAGATTAAAACTGTCAGTTGTTTCATTTGCATCCACAGTCAACAACCTTTCTACCAGTAATCAGGAGATCACAAGATTTAACACATTGGGGAAATCTTCTATCAAGGATCTCTCCAAATTAATGAGAGCAGTGATACCAGTTTGAAAACCAAGGTCAACATGATTCAGTCATGGTCTTTTCAGTCACTTTGCATCCTAGAGCTGGAAGAATTGATGTCTTTGAGTTGTATTGTTGGAAAAGTGTACTGCCAAGATAACAAACAAATGTTATGTTGCAAAATGTACCGCCAGAGTGCTCCTTGGAGGCAATAATGGCAAAGCTTTATCTCTCATACTTTGGACATGTGGCTAGGAGAGACTGTTCCTTGGAAAGGGATAGCATGCTTGGAAAGAGAGGCAGCAAAAGAGAGGAATATCCTCAAGGAGGTGGATTGACATTGCAACTACAGCTGTGGGCTCAAGTGTATCAGAGATGGCACAGAATTCAGGTCTGTTGTCTGTAGAGTTGCTATGAGTTATACTTGATGGCACCTAACAAAAGCAATAACAATCCTTGCACATTCATTCCTCCTCAGTAATTTGGAGAGGTACTTGACTGTAGAATTTCCCAATGCAATACATCTCCTGATGTCATGACTGCTAGTACCAAAGGTGTTGGTTATGCATCGAAGATGAAGTTGTTGATAATTTCAGTCTATTCTCCATCTTTCCTTATGTTACTTGTTATTCCAGTGGGGAGAATTTTTGTTTTCTTGACATCGATGTGCAATCCAAATTGAAGGCTGCACTAACTTTAAAGAAGTAAGTAAGTAAGGTTGTGTGATCTGCATAAAGCAGGTTGTTGATGAGTCTCTCTCCATTCCTGACCCGGCATGCTTCTTTAAAGAGTGTAGCTACTTGAATGATTTACTTAGCATGTAGAGTAAATAGGTATGGAGAAAGGATACAACCCTGACATATGCTTTTTTTACAAAATTTTAAACCATTCATTCATTGTTCCCTTGCTCTGGACAGAAAACAATTTGTCTAGTATTCCTTATTTTTCAGCCAGGATCCATCTGACATGAGCAATTATAACCATGGTGTCACACCCTCTTCTACACCCTTTTGGTAGTTTGAACTTTTGGTAGTTCTTTGTCAATGTACTCTTCTAGTTGTTTTTGGATAATCTTCAGCAATTTTTGTTTACTAGTTTATGTGCAAAATTCTAATACAAATTCTAACATATTCCTTCAATTTCCCTCACCCCTCCCACCCAACAAATTGTACAATTCAATGATTAATCCCTTCTTCCCCCTGTACATCTACATCCCTCTGCTTCCAGCCTCTTCCACCCTTCCTGGATCCTTATTGTCATGCTATAATAATGGTGTTATACAATATTTATCCTTGTGGGACTGAGTTCACTCAGCGTAACTCTCTCCAGTCCCTCCCAAGTTAGATAATAATTTACAAAGTTATTGCTCCTGCATGCTGCATAGTATTCCATTGTGTGAATGTACCATAATTTCTCAATCCTTTCTTGTATAGTTAGACATATGGTCCATGTCCATGTTCTTGTGATGGTGAATAATGCTGCTATAAACATTGGTGTACAAATCTCCATTTGCCTCAGTTCTCATATTCTTGGTATATTCCAAGCAGTGCAATAGCTGGGTCATATGGAATTTCTATGTTCAGCTTATTGAGGAAGCGCCAAACTGCCTTCCAGAATGGTTGCACCATTTTACAATCCTACCAACAATGTAGAAGAGTTCCTTTCTTGCCACATCCTCTTCAACATCTATTACTTGCTGCCCTGTTAAACTTTACTACTCTTACTGGAGTGAGATGATACCTCATTGTGGTTTTGATTTGCATCTCTCTTATTACTTATTAGTGATTTGGAGCATTTCTTCATGTGTTTAATTGCCATTCTAATATCTTCCTCTGTCAAAATTCTTTCTATGTCTTTTGCCCATTTTGTAATTGGATTATCAGTCTTTTTCTTGTGGAGGCCCAGGAGTAAAAAAAAAAAAAAGTAAACTTTTGTTATAAGACTCTTGTCTGAGATGGTATTACCAAATGTTTGTTCCCAGTCTGTAGCTTTTCTTTTCACCCTGTTGGAAAAGGTTTTTGATGTGCACAGAGATTTAATCTTTAGAAGGTCCCATGCATCAGTTTTATCCTCTTTAGATTGTGCATTTCTGGTTGTATTTGGGAGTCTCCTTATACTTTGGACCAGCACTTCTAAGCTTGACCGCAGTTTGTCTCTTATGAACGTTATGGTTTTGAGCTTTATTTCTAGGTCTCCGGTCTACCTTGAGTTCATTTTTGTGTGTGGTGTGAGATGTGGATCCTGTTTCAGCTTTCTGCAGGTGGAAGACCAGTTTTGCCAGCACCATTTGTTGAAGCGGTTTTCATTTCCTCATTTGATATCTTTGATTTCCTTGTCGAATATGAGTTGACCATGGAGAGCTAGGTCTATTTCTGGGTTCTCAGTCTTCAGCAATACTTTATTTTCATGTGATATTAATGATAAATTGTATTATGATTTCCACATTCTATTGGATCACCATTCTTGGGAATAGAAACAAAGATGGATGTCTTCTAGTCAGTTCACTAGGTAGTGTTTTGTAAATTAGAACCTACTGCTTCTTCCTATGAATGTTTTAAGAGCCTTTACTAGTATAGTCCATAGGGAGTTTCACTGCTAAACCAAAGGGTATGTTTCTCTAGGAATTCAGATCCACCTGTGGCTCTGAGGAGAAAAAATGTACAGTCTCCTTCTCTGTGATTTACAGTTTTAGAAACCCAGTGGAATGTCAACTATAAATTATTTCTGACAGGAAACAATTAGTTTGAGTTAGAGGAGACATGAACGAGCGGGCTCTGGTGTTTTAGTTTTAAGTGTGTTGTGGTACTAACCAAATGGTTACACATCTCTGGTGGTTTGACCCTGCCAGCTATTCCTCAAGAGGAAGCTGGAGAGTCTCCTCCTGGTAACATTTACAGCCTTGGGAAACCCAGTGGAACGTCGCTGTGAGTCGGAATCAACTCAGTAGCTGAGTGAGAAGCATAGGTTTGCATTTCCGGTGACTGGTCTTGTAATGCCTCCAAAAATGAGGATGTCATTTTCTGAGTCTTCTGTTGCCACCGGAAAGCACTGACAGAAATACTGTGGTTCTCAGAAAATGCTACACTTCACTATGTAGTTATGAATCAGGTGTTCTATGTGATAGTTTTTATTATGGGTTTAAAATTGTTATTCTGATCATGGCAGTTTTACTTTTAAGAAAATAAAAATGTGAGTAAAAACTATTATTTACGTCAAGTTTCACTAGTGTTTTGACTGTGATGAAAGACTCTACTGGACAGAGCAGTAAACTCCACCAATGTGAAGACACAAGTGGATCAAGGCCATCACACATTCTGATTGGGATGTAACTGAGCTGTGGCCCTCCATATTATAATACAGTCTCTCTCTCTCTCTCTCTTAAATATATCAGGTTTTTGAAGAACCTTCCATCAGCCTTTTTGCTCTAGAACATTGTGAGGGAAGAGAGTTACATCTTGAAGAAGCTGTGAACTCTGTCCTAAATAAGGACCTGCACTTCTACACCCAATCTGTGTGGGTTAAAAGCGGACTGTAAGTATGGGGTAAAAGCCAGGCAGCAAGTTGATTTTTATCCCCATCCCTAGTACTGTTGATTTTGGTCTCCTGGTACTCTGTCAGTGTATTAATAGTGGGTGCAGTTTGAATAAGGGAAGACAGAGCCATTTCCAAAAGGAGCATTATGTAATGGTCTGGGTCGGGGGAGTCTTTGAGAGAGAAAATTGTCCACCCAATCAGCACAAACTAGATGGCATTAATTGATTGAGCCATTTTCTTTCAAAAGAACTTAATTAAATTGTAACTTTGACAGCCAGGACCATTACATGCTTAAGGCAAATGGCTATTTGTAAGACTAAGCATGTTTTGTGGTATTGATTTGCCATGATTTTTAAGAGCTTTTTTAGTTTGCTTTAGGGTGCTCACTTTACTATGCTTGAGCTAGCCTGCCTACCACCATTGTTGCTATTACATTTAGGACAGTTGTCAATCAAGGATGACCCTGGTGGCACAGTGGTTGCTGGACGGATGCAGGGTAGCAGTCTACTTCAATTTAAAAAATTTATTGCACAGTTCTTCTCTGTCTGTTGACTCAGTGTGACTTGGAATTAATAGAAATTAATCCAGACTGTATGGAACCACTTTTGTCCAAGAGTATGTGGGACTAAAATTCTCACCACTAGACTGATAGGCAACATCATGGTAGATGGAGAAAGGACTGAAACTGTTAAAGACTTCATCTTACTCAGATTCAAAATCAGTACCCTTGGTACTAGCAGTCTATGAGATCAGGAGATGTATTGCGCCAGGAAAGTCTGCAATCAGGGGCCTGTGTAGATTATTGAGGAGCAGTGATGTCGGTTTGACCACGAAAGTCTGCCTGATTCAGGCTTTGATCTTTTCAGTCAGTTCCTATACATCAGAGAGCTGGACAATGAATAAGGATAATGAAAGTAGAATTGATGCCTTTGAGCTGTGGTTTTGGAGAAGAGTACTGAATATCTTATGTACTGACAAAAAAAAATAAACATATATATCTTTGAAAACATGCACCCAGACTGCTTCTTGCCAGTAAAGATGGTAATGCTTCATCTCTCCTACTTTGGACATGTTGCTAGGAGATGTTGTTGCTTGGAGAGGGACATCATGCTGGGAAATGTGGAGGGAAACAAAAGAGAGAAAGACTAGTGAGGTAGATTGAATAGTGACTGCAGCAATAGGCTCAAGTGTGTCAGAAATGATGAGGATGGCCCAAGATAGGACCGGATTTAGGTCTGTTGTTCATAGGGTTACTATGAGTTGTACTCAACTCAATGGCTCCTAACAATAAATAAGCACAATAAAAAGCTTTAGTGGCATACTCTATAGCGAGTGGAATGCTAACATAAAGGTCATGCCTCTTTTATGATTTGAATCTACTGGTGGCTCTTCAGAAAATAGATGAGCCATTTCCTCCTATGTGACATATGTTGTTGTTGAATAATGTTGAGTTGAAACCAGCCCATCGCTGACCCTCCAGCAGGTTTTCAGAGGCAATAAATCACATGAGAAGAGATTATCCATCCTTCTCCCATGGAACAACTCGTGGATTCAAACTATGTGCCTTTGGGATTGCAGCACAGCTTCTTACCACTAAGCCACTAGAGCTCCCTCTTGTAGAGACCTACTGGAGGGTCAGCTTTGATGGATCCCAGCTCACTGACAATGTATGCGAGTGAAGCAGAAGAACAAACAAATCTTCCTCAAAAGAAGTACCTCTGGGTGTTCTGTAAAGCAAGGATGGTGAGACTTCATCTCATGTACTTTGAGCAAGTTTCTCACATATACCAAGCAAGTTATAAGCAAGGGTCAATCCTTGGAAAGGCCATCATACTGGAAAGTTACTTGACCAGTGAAGGAGAGGAAGACTCTCAATGAGATGGAGTGACACAGTGACTGAAAGCATGTGATTAAGGACAGCAGAGATTGTGAAGATGTCACAGGATTAGGCAGGGTTTTGTTTTACTGTTAATAGGGTTTTTATGGGACTCTTAAGAGAACAAACAGGTATGTCCTGGAGAGGGTGAAACCAGGCTGCTCCTTGGAGGCAAGGATTCTGAGGCTCCGTCTGACATACTCTGGGCATGTTGCAAGGACATCATGCTTGGGAGGATGGAGGGACAACGCAGGAGGGGAAGACCCTTCATGTGATGGGTTGATTCAGTGACTAGAGTAATGGGTTACGTGTGCCAGAGATGGTGAAGTTGGCTCAGGATAGAGCAAGGTTCAGAGCTTTAGTACATAGGGTCGCTGTGAGTCACAGGCATTTTAATGGCACATAACAACAACAACAATGGGGCAACTCAAGAAGACATAGCAAAGTGCTGGATTTGGAAAATCAAAAGGAACGAACTCACTCTGCGTTTCTGAAGCTGAAGGAACTGAACAAATTCAAACCATGAGTTTCTATACTTAAGGATGTTGTGGGCAGAATTTTAAATTATCCAGGAAACATCAGAAGAAGGAGGAGTACACAGAGTCACTGTACCAAAAATAATTGGCTGAAATGGAAGAATTTAATGAAAAAGCATTTGACCAGGAAACCATGGTGATAAAGGAAGAAGCTCAGGCTGCTCTGAAAGAATTGGCAAAAACAAGGCCCCAGGAATTGATGGCATACCGATTGGCATATTTCAAAAGACAGATGCGACCCTGTAAGGTTGTGCCAGGAAATCTGGAGGACACCCGCCTGGCCAACAGACTAGGTTAGATCCATATTTATTCCCATTCCAAAAAAGTGATCTAACAGTATGGACAGTATTGAATAATATTACTAATATCACATGCAAGCAGGATCCTGCTGAAGATTATCCAAAAGCTACTGCAACAGTACATCAACAGAGTATTGCCAGATGTGCAAGCTGGGTATAGAAGAGGCCGTGGCACTAGGGATGTTATAGCCAATATTAGATGGATCTCAGCTGAAATCAGAGAGTACCAGAGGAATTTCTATCTCTATTTCATTGACTGTGCAAAGGCATTTGACTATAGATCACAACAAACTGTGGCTAACCTCAAGAAAAATGGGAATCCCAGAACATTATTGTGTTCATGGAAACTTGTATTTGGACTAGGAAGCATTCATCAGAACAGAACAAGGAAACATTTCATGGTTCCAAATCAGAAATCGTATGCATCAGGGATGCTTCCTATCTCCATACCTTTTCAATCTATATGTGGAACAGATCATTCAGGAGTCTGGACTCTATGAGGAGGGATGTGGCATCATGATTGGAGGAAGACTCAACAACCAGATGACACAGCTTTGCTTGCTGAAACTGAGGCGGACCTGAGACATTTACTTCAGGAGCTCAAGGCCTACAGGCTTCCATATGGATTAAAGCTCAACATCAAGAAAACAAAGATTCCCACCACTGGGCTAATTGGCAGCACCATGATAGATGGAGGAAAGATTGAGATTGCTAGCAATTTTAGCTTGTTTGGTTCTATAGTCACCACTCTTGGCACTACTAGCCAGCAAATCAAAAGACAAATTGCATTGGGAAAATCTGTCCTCAGGGGTCTTTCCAGAGTGCTAAAGAGTGATGATGGCAGACTGGAGAGTAAGGTACACCTGAACCAAGCCATAAGCTTTGCAGTTATTTGCTATGTATCAGAGAGCTGGACAGTGACTAAGGATAAAGGAAAAAGAACCTATTCCTTTGAGTTCTGGTGCTGGAGAAGAGTAGTGAACATACCATGGACTGCCAAGAGAACAAACAGGTCTGTTCCGGAGAGGGCAAAATGGAGCTGCTCTTTGGAGGTAAGGATTTTGAGACTCCATCTCATATACTTTTTGGGGCAGGAAGAACCAGTCCTTGAAGAAGGACATCACACCTGGAGGGTGGAGAGAAGATCTCGGATGAGGTGGATTTTTACAGTGACTGGGATATGAGATGGTGATAGTGGCTCAGGATAGGACAGGGTTCAGGGCTATTGTGCATAGGGCCTTTATGAGTCTCAAGCAACTTGACAGCACATAACACAACATGGATTGGAGACAACACAGTGGCAGCTAACAACAGTAACAAGCATAAGATTTCTGATGGCTTTCCCCACCTTACTGTGTTGAACTGAATTCTCTAATCTTGTGATGTAGAACTTTTTTTATGGTCTCCCTACAGTCCACAATGAAGTTGATATTTATTGACTTACCTCTGAGACTTTCTTACCTGCTTAATTGAAAAGCTGGTGCCATTTTACTTGACATTCTTATTTCTTCATTGCAACTTATTATCCACCTACTCTTACTGTTCTAGATTGATTCAAAAGACAGTAATATATGGAGTAAGAAACAATGAGGGTGTCTGAAGATTAGGATCTAAATGGATCATGGAATGATAGTTAATGCAGAGAGCCAGCGGCCCTGAGTAACAGTTTTGTGCTGTCTTGATCTGCTATCCCACATTTTTTATCTATGGTGTAATGAGGGGCATCCCTGAAATTTACCATCCCACATGGCTTTTCCATATATCGAGTTTAGTTAGATCAATATATAAAGATCTTACAAGCTTATTTAATAAAGCCTCTGATGGTTTAGATATTTATAGACAAGAAATAGTGGAGGGAAATTCATCCATCTGGCTCATCTCTTCATAATTTGATAAGCCTGGTCTTTCTTATAGACAGTAAAGGGAACATTATCTGATAGTGGTTAGTTTAGATCCATAATCTCTGTTGTATTACATCTTTTCTTAAAAGCCCAGATATCAAGCCATTTTTTGTTTCCTTCATATCTTCACATCTTTGTGTACAAATTGAAGTCTGTTGCTACTATGAGTCCTTAAAGAATATTGCCAATATTTAGTTTTACATGTTTTCATCTGGAAAATGGAAGGGATTTTTCCCTTTTCAAGTTTTACAAATTTTCATCTGGAAAACTGAAAGACCAATTGCAGCAGACCCTTTGCAGCGTGTGTTGTAAATTCAAAATGAACTTGTTTCTGAAAACACTCCATCTTTTCAGAAAATAGTCTTGTCTTGCTGGTGGTGCTCCGTGTGTCTCTTCTCCAAAGTTACATTTTTCTCTTAATCTCTGGTCAGTTACCTTTTTCCACTGAGTCAGCTCTGACTCATGGTGACTGTGTATGTCAGCATACAACTGCACTCCACTTCTTTTTTACAAGTAGTTAGATGATCAGTAGATTTCTACTGAGGAACCTCTAGATAAACTTTAATCTTTCAGTTTAGTGGTTGAGTACATTAACCATTTGTATCACCCAGGAAATCTTTGGCCCAAAACAGGGCAACTCATTGTACAATTCTAGGTGCTTTGATTTGTGTAAGACAGCCACCTGGTCCTCCACACATACTCTGTAAAGCATCGTTTGGCGTGACCTTGAATCTTGTTGAGAATTTCACATCTTGGTAATAACAGAATATTGTTGTTAGGTAGTATCATTTAGCAGAGTTCTGCAAACTTTTTTTTGTATAGGACCTGATAAGATATATTTTCTGTTTGTGGGACTGTCTCTTAAAATTTGTCACAATAAAGCAAAAGCAGCCATCAGCAATCTGTAAAGGGATGGACATCTGTAAAAGTTGTCCAACACTGTGATCTAATGAGACAACTGAGAGAACCCTTTATGCAAAAATATCCAACCTTACAAGAGTCTTTGAAGGAGTAGTGTTCCTCAGTTGTTGTTTATTGTTATGTGCCATCGGGTCAGTCACCTGCAACTCATAATGCAGCAGCTTTGAACCCTGTCCTGTCCTGAGCCAGTCTCACTAATGCCAACACACCAGCCCCCTTTGTCCCAGTCACTGTATCAATCCATCTCATCCAGAGTCTCTAGTGCACTGTCCCTCCACCCTTCCAAGGAGTAGGACATCATGCTGTTCCTCAAAGCTATTTAAAATTCCTTTCAGACTTCTGAAGACTAAAGTCTTCTAACGTCTGCCAGATTAATAATTAGCTCTTGTTTGAGATCAGAAATATTAGAGAAGATGTTTAGAGGCTGCTTAGTATGTCTGTGGAAAAAGTCCTCTCACAGGAACCAGGAGGGCTGGAATCTCACAATTTCCTGTCATGCTGCTACTAACTAGGACATCTCCATAGAGCCTGTCTTTCCTTTCAGATGATAAAATTTCTGACTGACAACATACCATACGTTAGACCTCTTTTATAAGACTCTTTCTTACAATGTTGTTGTTGTTGTTGTTATGTGCTGTTAAGTTGCATGCAACTCATAGCGACCTTATGTACAACAGCCCTATACGCTGCTCTGTCCTGTGCCAGTCCCACTGTCTTTGACACACCTAGCCCCTTTACTTCAGTCACTGAATCAATCCACCTCATAGAGGATCTTTCTCTCCTGCGCTATCCCTCCAGCCTCCCAAGTATGATGTCCCTCTCCAAGGACTGGTCCCTCCTTGCAATATGTCCACAGTATGTCCGACGAAGCCTCAGAATCCTTGCCTCCAAAGAGCAGTCTGGTTTAACCCTCTCTTGGACAAACCTGTTGTTTTCTTGGCAGTCCATGGTACATTCACTACTCTTCTCCAGCTCAAAGGCATCAATTCTCCTTCTATCCTCCCTAGTCACTGTGCAGCTCTCTGATGCATAGCAAGTGATTGCAAACACCATGGCCTGTATCAGGTGCACCTTAGTCTCCAGAGTGACACCATTGCTCTTCAGTATTCTGGCTAGGTCCCTGACAGCAGACTTTCCCATTGCAATATGTCTTTTAATTTCTTGACTGCTGGTGCCAAGAATGTTGAATGTAGAGCCAAGCAAACAAAACCTGTTAGCATTCTCATTCTCTTCACCATCCATCCTGATGCTGCCATTTGGCCCAGTGGTGAGAATTTTTGTCTTCTTGATAGTGAGCCTCAATCCATAATGAAGGCTGCAGTCCTGGACAGTCCTTGACCTTCTGCAGTGAGCGCTTCAGGTCCTTCTCAGCTTCAGAAAGCAGGGTTGTGTTATCTGCATGATGCAGATTGTTGTTGAATCCTCCACCAATCCTGATGCCACACTTCTCATAGAGCCCAGCCTCCCAGATAATCTGCTCTGCATACAGGTTGAAAAGGTAGGGAGATAGGACACATCCCTGGCATATACCCTTCCCAGTTTTGAACCATGCCATGTTTCCTTTATCTGTTCTTATGACTGTGTCCTAGTCCTAGTATAGGTTTTGCATTAGCACAATCAAGTGTTCTGGGATTCCCATTCTTCTCAGAGTCAGCCACAGTTTGTTATGATCCACACAGTCAAACGGCTTTGCATAATCAATGAAACACAGATAGACATTCCTCTGGTACTCCCTGCTTTCATCCAGAATCCATGTAACATTAGCTATAATATCCCTAGTACCATGAGTCCTTCTTAAAATAAATATAAAAAAAATTTTGAAAAGAAGGCCATTGTAGACTGAAATTTGTATAGTTCTATTACGTTTGACTCTCTGAAGACAGACTTTTTAATAAAAAATTTTCATATTACTATAGCTGATTGCTTTATTTGGTCAACATTTATTGCCAGAACTATGCAAGTTGAATAAGATACCATCTTAGTTCTCTGGCCTCACAGTCTTAACAGAAGAGCATGGCTCTGACAGCTATGACAGTGTGCTAAGCGCTACATTAGCCTAAATTAGGTGCCAGGATGACAGGTGTGGGTCTTGAGATTCTATACGTTTACGCACTTTACACTACCTGAGTTGTGAAGGCTAGGTTTGGGGAAAGATCTTGATGTTGGAGTGGGTAACGTGTGGATAGTGGTGAGTAGTCCTCAGTGACAAGTTGTGGAGGAGTTGCAGAAGGAATTTTGTGTAGAGAGCTAACTGGAGTCCTCTAAGAGGCCCTGAAAAACATCTGACATTGAGCCTCAGTTTTAGTGGATGAGGGGGATATAGCACCTCGTCAAGTGTTAAGGCACAGTGAAAAGACAGCATTATCAATGGGACACAGAATTTTAGAGCAGGAGGAACGTTAGAGTCCAGGGCTGTGTGCCTGTTTTGGAGGGGAGAAACCAAAGTCCAATTGGAATACAGATCATCTGACTCCATTCTGGGAGATTTCCTTCTGGTCTTTCCACCTTTTCGGTTAAAAGAGGACATGCAATCTCAATATCTCAATCAATCTCTCTCTCTCTCTCTCAGAGAGAAAGATTATCGGTAAATTTAGATATCTTAATGACTGGAACCCTATATATGGTACATCAAAAGAAATAAAACCCTCTGACAACTAATAGTGATGCTCTACCAGGTCTCTGAGGCTGTAAATCCTTAGGAAAAGAGACTGCCCCTGTTTCTCCTGAGGAGCAGTTGGTGAATTTGAACTGCTGACCATTTGGTTAGCAGGATGATACAGTATGCACCTTGCCACCAGGGTTTCTTAACTAGATAAGAGGTAGCTCTTGCTGTTTTGAAGTCTCTCACTTTTTTACTTCGTGCTCTCATATAGGTGGATAGTTTATGAAGGATCCAATTTCTTGGGGAAGCAAATTCTTTTGGAGCCTAATGAGATTCCAAATTGGACAACATTCAGTGGGTGGAAAACAATTGGTTCCCTCCGTCCTATGAAGCAGGTAAGGAGAAAAGCAGTAAAATAGCTCACGTTTTTTTCTGGTAGAAATGTCATAAACCATAGCATCTAAAAGAAATATCGACCATTTAATTTAATTTGTCATATATGTAGCAGGTGGCAGGAGATATTGCTTCTTTGAACAAATATATAAAATTGTACTTAAGACTTAATGTTGAGATTTATCCTTGAGTCCCTCCCCCCGCCCCCAAGTTTTAGTGACTGGGTTCAATTTTCACGGAAGAATTAGGTATTTTAAGTTCTGTGGCAAAGCAGTGGAAGCAAAAATGAACTTTGAAACGGTACAAGTTTTACTTTCAAAGTGCTTGGATTTCTTTCTCATGACTTACATAATCCTCAGGGTAGCTAGCTCCTGGCAGTTTAATTAAAACAGTATTTACTGCACACCTACTACTTGTCACTCTTCTGTTCATACCTTTCCCAGTGCACTTTGGATACAATCTAAACTCCTCCACATGGCCTGCCTGATCTCACTCCCCCCCCGCTTCTCCATCCACATCCCTCACAGGTCCCTCACACGTCCACTCCATCTGCATCCCTCACAGGTCCCCTGTCCTGTGGCCATGTGACATGTGCCAACTGATGGGTGTTCTCACTCAGGCCTTGCATCTGGAATTTGATCCTCTCATTATTTACCAAAACAGATCTCCAAAGCAGTCCCACAGAGCAGAGGACTCACTCACTCACTTTCAAAATAGACACACAGCCCTGAGCTGTAAGATGTACCCTGAGCTCTAAAATTCTGAGTCTCTTTGATGATGCTGTTTTTTCACTGCAGCTTTCCCCCCTCACCCACTATTAACATGCTAAAACTTGGGCTTATTGTCAGATACCTTTCAAGGTGTCTTAGAGGCCTCCAGTTATTTCTCTACCCGTAATTCCTTCTGCGTCTCCTCCACTACTCACCACTGGCTTATTTGTGCTCATCCCACTGGATTCAGCTTAGTGTGGGAGCCTCAAAAATACCTTCACCAGCGACATTGGATCCTAAGAAGTTTCTTCAAGTGGTGTATTGTACAGTGCGCAGTGGGCATTTCCATCCCATCAGCCGTAGGAGGAAGATGTGGCAACCCACTTCTGTAAAGATTTACAGCCTTGAAAATCCTGTGGGACAATCCTCCTCTGTCCTGTGGGGACTGCTGTTAGTCAGAGTCTACCTGATGACAGTGAGTTTGGCATTTTTGTTTTCTTTTATGGGGTTTTTCATGAATGTCCATTTTGTTTTATCACATTAATTACAATGCCATTTATTACAACATCTTATCAAATCTTCACTGTACCTTACCTTTCTGCTCACCCTCCGTATACATCCACTAATCTCTGCTCCCCTCTTCTTCCCATCTTGTCCCTGTCAATTTTTCATGATAATTTCTATGTGTAAACCTTAGGGGTTTTTTTTAGTCACTAATATCTTGTTTCACATTGTTAACTCTAATACACACAATGCTTGACCTTGATTCATTTCACACTGTCCTTCTTTTTATCTGTTTCACTAAAGTGTTCCTTGTCCAATCATCGACGGTTTTCCGTTGAAAGATATCCTTATGCCTGAGTTGAGCTCTTTCCCACTGGATTCCAAGTCTCTTGAGAGTAAATGATCATGTACAGTTTGCTTACTGTTCTACCACTAGTGCCTGCCACGATGTCTGAAAAATTTTAGGAGCTCTGAGATTGTTTCATTAAAGAATAGTGTGTAAATAAAAGAATGATAATTTGAAAGTGCATATCCTGTTATGGAAGATAGAAAGATGCCCTGTCTTATTGGAGCTTATATTTTTGTTGTTGTTGAGGGAACATGACCAACTCAAAGCAATAACTTAAAATGGAAAACAGTACATGGCAATCAAAAGCCACATTCAGTGCCTGGTTCAGTGAAGGAAGTTGTAGTTTGTGAGAGTGGGGAGACCTGGCTCCTCAATCACTTCATATGCCATTCCTATCATTTCCGAATCCCGTTGGCAACATTGTTGTGTATTTGAGTCAGAACCAACTCCTGGATAATCACTTCATATGCCATTCCTATCATTTCCGAATCCCGTTGGCAACATTGTTGTGTATTTGAGTCAGAACCAACTCCTGGCTGACCCTCCTGCAGATTTTCAGAAACTTTATAAGGAAGAATATAGCATCAGGATTGGAGGAAGACACATTAACAACCTGCGTTATGCAGATGACACAACCCTACTTGCTGAAACTGGGGAGGACCTGAAGCGCTTGTTGCAGAGGGTCAAACTACTCTCGTCTGCAATATGGATTGAAGCTCAACATCAATAAAACACGGATTCTCACCACTGGGCCAGAACCATAATAAATGGAGGGGAGATGGAGATTGTTAATACTTTTAGCTTGCTTAGCTTCACAATCAACACCCTTGGCACCAGCAGTCAGGAAATCAAGACAAATTAAATTTGAAAAAATCTGTCAGTGACCTTTCCAGAGTTCTAAAGAACAACGATGTCACTCTCGAGACTTAAGGAGAGTCTGATCCAGGCCATGCCTGGTTTTTGCGATTTTTTTACTCTGCATTGGAGAGCTGGATGTGACCAAACATGACAGGAGAAGAAGCGATGCTTTTGTGTTGTGATGCTGGAGAAGAGTACTGAACATGTCATGGACTGCCAACAGAACAAACAGTCTGTCATGGAGAGAGTGAAACCATGTTGCTTCTTGGAGGCAGGGATTTTGAGGCTCCCTCTTGCATACTTTGGGTACATGGTTAGGAGGGACTAGTCCTTGGAGAAGGACATCATGCTTAGAAATGGAAAAAGACTATGGATGAAATGAATTGACACAGTAAATAGGGTGTGGGAATAGGTCTATCAGAAACATGAGATTGGCTCATGATAGGGCAGGGTTGAGAATTATTGTGCGTCGGATCACTATGAATCACAGTCAATAGCATACTACAACAACAACAACAACATATCCCATAGCGGGAGATTCCCCATCTTTCTCCTGTGATGAATTTGAACCATGTGCCTTTGGGTTGGCAGTGCAGCTTCTACTCACTAAGCCATCAGAACTACTTCTTTAGAAACATAGTTTCACGTAACACCTTTGAGGTAGAAATTATCTCCTTTTTTGTGATGGAAAACTAAGATAGTAACACAGTCGGGGGGAGGGGGATGAGGGGTGGGAATCCAAGTGTAAGACCTAGGATTTGGACTCTAATCTGTGATATTCTAAAATGTGTGTTAAATTACCACACTCCTTCCAAAATAAAATAGTTGCAGAGTATAGCAGACAAGAGTAAGTGCTGGTGTTCTGAAGTGCAGACTTGTCACTTTAAATGTTAAATGGTAACCGCTTAAAAATAGTCTTCTCCCTCTCCTTCTGCCATTTGTCAGCAATGATGCCGAGCAAGTGACTTAGACTTAAGTTATTAGCATCTCAGATTTCTTCGCAGTACAGTACTGATGGCCTTGCCCCAGCCTCTCAGTAGTGCTGAAAAAAACCCTATGTTTTTGAAGCACTTGATCCAGTAATCATCTCATATTAGTATGATGATAGATTCATTTTAAAAAAGAACCCCTTAAGAGAACCAGACACAATGTGGGGATACAAAGACAGTAGTGAGCTTCCCTAGCATATAACAGGTGGTACAGGGTCTCATGACCATGACATTTTTCTTATTCTGTGTTCCTGTAGCAAAAGATAGGTAACACCATTGAAAAGCTGAGAAAAAGCAAAATAGAAGTTGGAATGCTTAGAGAAATGCCAGAAGATTACAGACTCATTATGTTGCTAATCATGTGTTGTTAAAAACTGTAGAAATTAGTTTAACACTGCTAATGTTTTAGTTACTTTGAGATGGTGATTCCTGGGGAGGGAAGCATGTCCTTGCCTGTGGTTCAGGGGCTTGGAGACACTGAATTACCAGAATAGTAGCTTCTGTTTTACATAGATTTTTCTTTTTAAATTAAAATTTTTTTTCCTTTTGGATTGCACTTTAGAAACAACCTGATTCCTATTCTAGTTACGTACTTAATATTAAAATAGCATTTTAGTAGATTCTTTTTCTTGCAGTTTGTTGAGACCACACTTTGTATTCTAAGAAAAGAATTCTCAGGTTCTGAGACCGCATGTTGGTTCATACTTAGTTTTTTACTAAGGCTGTTTACAGTACTACATGTATTCATATTTTTGTTAAGGAATATGAGAGTAATTGAAATGTGATTTTCTGTGAGGTTGGAAATTAGGAAGTTACTGAGGTATTTACAATGTCTACCAGTGTTTTTAAGTATAATTACAGAAGAGTCAAACTATAATATTTCATAAAAGTAGATAGTAACTTATTTGACTTTTTATTAAAACTGATAATTTGAACATAATTGGAACTCTCTCGTCTATGAAGATCATGCTTGTTCTCTGATAAGAAACTATAATAAATATACACTCAAAAATCTCAAGAATGTACAGTGATGTCAGTGAGGAACTAGGCTAAATTATCAAAATTCTAATAGCTCACTATAACATTATGAACATGAAAAGGTTTAATAAATCTAGCCAAGTAGAAGTCTTACTCATCTGCTCTCACTCAATTAGATAATAATTTGTCCTCATTCTTGCTTATTTAAAAACTCCTTACTGGGGGGGGGGCATGGTGAAGATGAACATAGAAATCTCATAGGACCCAGCTACTCCACTTCCAGGAATATACTACAATCAAAATAGAACTAAGACACCAAGGGAGATATGTACACGTATGTCCACAGCAGCATTATTCACATTCGCAAGATTATGAAAACAGCCCAGATGGCCATTAACAAACAAATGGATTGAGAAATTGTAGTACATTCACCCAATGGAATGCTATGAAACCCTAAGAAATTACAATTTAGTAAAATACTGCATAACATGGGAGAGTTGAGAGAGCATTATGCTGTGAGAAACAACTCAGTTTTAATGGACAAATATTGCATATGACCATTATTGTAAAAATAAGAAGATAACGAAGCAAGATGTAAACAAATGTTCAAAATAGCAGAGGGAAAAGGAGAAGGGTAGGACAAGTGACACTACTAGGATACCAGAATTTAGTGGGAGGAAATGGGGGAGGGGATGATGATGTTAAAGGATTCAGGAAAGATTCCAAGGGGACTTGGAAAGATGGGGTCATAATAAGCATAGATAAATAGTAATTAATTCTGTAAAATGCAATATATATGAATAATTGTATAAAATACAAGGTACACAAATGAGGCACAATATAAATGATATATTTTATAAAATACAATGTACATGTATAAAGCAATGTAAAAGAATAACTGTATATAAACCAATAAAAACACTAGAAAAGTAAAAAAAAGAAACTCCTAAGATTTATTTCTTTAGGAAAGCTAAATATTCTGTGATACCAATGACCTTGTGTTGGTCAAGCATAAGCTTCAGAACAGTACAGTACTTATTTACTCCATAATGTTACACTGCATTTACAGTTCTCATAGTGAAAGTGCACCCTAATCAAATAGCAGTTTGTTATTTATTCAAGGTTCTAATTGAGATGTCAACACTGACCTAAGGCAGATAAGTGCTCTGCATGTCACATTGTAGCTGAATGCCTGATGATCCCAGGGCTAACAGGACTGTTTTCCTACCTTCGATCATGTGTTTTCCTGTCACCATCTAACTTAGTTCACACCACCGTCTTTGGAAGTAGACTGTTGTTCTCAGTGTCAAAGAATAACTAGTGCATCTTAGAATATAGGCCTCACAAGCACCCTCATAAAGCGGGAGCATTTTGTTACAAACAGACCTGGCTTCACATTTACTGTGAACTTTAAAATTAAGGTCTCCCTGGCTTCCCATTTAATGTGAACTTTACTGTAAAATTAGGGTCTCAATTCTACTTTCATAACAATTTCTTTAGATTATTTCAGTGACACAGAGAGCATTTAGCATACGACTTCACAGATGTACACTTTAAAACAAAACTCACTAAAACACACACACACCCAAAAAAACAGAACTCACTGTCTTGTAGTAGCCTTCACCAGGTTTCCCAAGCTGTAAATCTTTGGGAGGACACTGCAGAGTGGCAGGTGGATTGAAGTACTGACTATTTGATTTGATTATCAGTTTGACAAGCTATACACTGTGCCAGTAGGGCTCCTATCCAACAAAACCTAATATCCAGTAAGGGAGCAGTGTTGTCCTAGTGGGTAGAACATTTTGCTACCAACCCTAAAGTACAAGGATTGAATCCACCAACTGCACTTCAGGAGAAAGATGGTAAGTCCCCTGCAGTGTGATTTACTGCTTCTGCACACCTACTAGAGGGTCGATGACCCATAACAATGCTCAGTAAGCATTAACTCTTAATTTTTAGAGACAAGTCTTATGTCTAATATTTTATCCTAAAATCCTAATTTTAAAGTATGAGATCCCTTGTTACCCATTTTTCAGATACCCCATTAGTGCTTAAACTTGCTTGGTCTCTCCGAGAAAATATTCTGAAGGTCTGTCTAATGAAAACAAAGCAGTAACCACAGCTGCTGAGGTCCTTATTTACCTGAGGTTTTCAAGACCTCCCTCTACAGAGGGTTGGCACTGAAGAGCTCAAGATAGTATGTCTGATTATTGGACTTGTCTTTCCTGAGTTTGTGTAGGTACTAATTTGCCCTTGTTCCACGCCTGTACCTCCTTCAGCACACCTGGGACACATTAGTTATTGGATGAAACCCAAGCCCCTGATTGTTCCACAGCCCTTGCCTCATGCAGTTCTGGTGAATGAAACGACTTCCTTTCTCCTTTCAAAAATGTTCCGTGTTTTTCAGAATGGCAACAACATAATAGAGACTGTACAGTGTAAACTTTGTACTGATGTAATATAAGGATTTTTCTGTAGAATATTTGTACATACAAATAAATAATTTAGCTTCTGACTTTGCTCTTCACTACTCGATTTCCCGAGGCAAAAGGTTATTTTGAAACAGCTGTTTCCCCTTTATCATAGCCTGCAGTGTACATCAGAATAAAGAACCGAGCTGAGAATGAGTATCTGACTGTCATTGGAAACCTTGTGGACATCAGGGCCACATCTGTGTGCATTTCTCCCTACAATGGAAAAAATACGCAAATATGGCACTACTGTCGAGGACTCTTCAAATCCAAGGTAACTTACCAAACCAGTTGCCAACAGGTTGGTCCCAACTCTTGCCAGCACTGTGTGTCTCAACCAGCACCATTTGTGGCTCCTGGCCATTTGCCTGCCCCATAGGGTTTTTATTGGTTCATTGTCCAGAAGTAAAACACCAGACATTTAATCTAAAAGGCCATTGCATGGATTTGAATGGCTGAACTTGTGGCTAGATGTTGTGTGTATTAACTCCTAAATAAGAGTACTCCAGATCCAGTTTGTTCTTTTGGAAACTGGAATCTTGAAAATCAAACAGATTGAGAAAATAATGCCATTACTTAGGAACAGGTAGTGCATGATCATATACTGATTGATAGTCATGTATTACTGAAGCATTTAAGTTACATGGCTAGAGGAATTTTTGATGTGTAACTTCTGCTCTGTTCTTTTGGAAAATAGAATCTTGCACACCAAGTAGGTAAAATAATGGCATGACTTAGGAATGGTTCATTGCATGATCTTTTACTGATAAGCATATATTACTAAAGCATTTAAGTGAAATTGCTTAGAGAAATTTTTGATGTACAAACTCCAGTTTTAAAATTTAAGTTAAACAAAGGTATGCCTATTGTTGTTATGTGCCATCGAGTCACTTGTGACTCATAAAACCCTGTGTACAACCCTATGTAGCTCTAAAAGTCTGCCCTATCCTGAGCCAGTCTGTCTCCAACACATATACCCCCATTACCCCAGTTACTGTGTCACTCCATCTCCAATGCTGTCTCTCCATCCTTCCAAGCATGATGTCCTCCAAGTACTGGTCCCTCCAGGCCACACGCCCAAAGTATGTGAGACAGAGCTTAAAAATCCTTGCCTCCAATAAGCAGGTGTCACCATCTCAAGACAAATCTGTTTGTTTTCTTGGTGGCCCATGGCATGTTTGGTACTTTTCTCCAGCACCACAACTCTAAGTCACAGATTCTTCTTCTCTCATCCTTAGGTTATTGTCCAGCTCTCTGATGCACAGTGATTTTTTTTAAAGACAAAAGATACATGTCATTGGATCTAAACAGGACAATGGTCTTTTGTGATCCATTACCACAGGCTCAGATAAAATCAGCTGTCAAGAGATTCTAAACATGTCAAGTCTTTCATTTTCAAAATATACACTGAAGTGTAATGAAGAAAGCAGCTTTTATTGGAAAGTAAAATTTAGGTTTCTTTATTCTTTTTCTATCTGCATTCACTGTGATGCTATGGAGAATAAAGTACCTGTTTTAATAAATATTATATGTTTAATTAAACATTTAATAAACAACCTTATTTTATCACCAGTGGATTATCTATCTGCCCCCCTCTTTTTTTCAACACACGTGAAAAGCATTCACTCACTCAATGCCTGTGTTGGATTCATGACTGATCCAGGTTTTGGGAGGCTGTAAATCTCATGGAAGATGGCTTCCTCTTTCCTCCATTGAGAAAGCTTGGATTCGAACCACCAGAGATTCCACGTTTGGGTTAACAGTGCAACTCTCTGTGGACTATGCCACCAAAGTGACTTTTAAGGAGTGACTATTATCTGTATATCTTTAGCATACCAGCTGATTTAAGAAAATCAAGCTCTACATAATACCTGTTAAGCTATCAGGGACTTTGTGTTCAATTTTAATGCATTGGGCCTCCTCTACACAGTGTGTAGGCTTCCTTTACGTCTTTTTGTGTCTATTTTAGTGGCCTCATTTCTATGCCATTTCCTCTTGCCAGCCATAAGAATGACTTTTTTAAAAAAGTTTATGGAAATTTCTGTTATGCTATGTAATATATATATATCAGCCCAGTTTATTTTCGCAAACATAATACTGCTTGTTTGTTTGTTAACTGTTAGGCGAATGATACATGTCTTGATGTGATTGGTGGCCGAGACACACCTGGAGCTAAAGTAGCTCTGTGGACGGAACATGGGCAGTCCAGGCAGAAGTGGAGACTGAACAGAAATGGAACCATCAGCTCTTACCTCAGTGACCAGCTTGTCCTTGATGTTAAAGGTGGGCCTTTGAGGAGACACAGTGTTTTGTTTGTGTCTAGGGTATTGTTAAGTCCTAAAGCTCCTCTTCCCAGGTAAAGGGAATCTCTGTGTAAGCTGTCATGAGCCGACCATAGCTGCCCCTCCTGTGCGTTCTCTGAAGCAGTAAATCACATAGGAGCAGACCGCCCATCCTTCTCGCGCGGAGCAGCTCTCGTATTCTAACCATCTGCCTGTCGGTTAGCAACACAGCTCCTTACCAGAACTCCCTTCAATATACAAATATTAAACATAATTTTAATTATGTTTGAAAATTTGAGACACGCAATTTTAAGGAATGACACAAGTGTCTATGTGGGTCAAACAGAAAAAGCCTAAGGACAAAGTCTGAGAAACTTTTTACTCATCATCTATGAACTGGGGAAAGGATTTTAAATTGAAAGTGTTGTGGTTATAAAATGAATTGTCTTTAGTTTTGCAGAAATGTATCTTAACTTTTCACTGTGAATTGCCATGGTCCTTAGAAGCCCTCATTTTAAAAGTTACGGGACGTATCCTTTAACCTTGTTTTTTAATTCCTCAAGGTCAGGGCTAACATCACCCATGGCTGCTGCTTTAATTGGGTTAGTCATAATCTCTGTTGATGTAGAAACAAAAACATAGCACCTGACATTTAGCCAGAGCTCTCTGGGAGCACTTTGTTCTTAAGAGTTGCACTGTTAGGGCATAGTGCTTATGCAATCATATATTGTGCCTTTTAGTTTTTCAGTCTGAATCATAGTAAGGTCCAAATTGAGGTGAATAATGGTTTGGCCTGTTTAAATTCAGCTTCCCATTTCAGGACACGTCGTAAATGACACAATAATCTACTAAACAGCAGGCTGAACAAAGCAACTTGTGAAACTGCTAAGCACCTGCATGAACAAATAATCCTTTCTTTTGGAATTTCTATTTTAGGAGGAAGCTATTATGACAAGACTCATGTAATTGTAAATCAGCCCCTGGAGGGAGAAGAAACACAGAAATGGGACATTGAAATATTGTGAGAGAAGCAATATTGTCCCTCGAAAGAGCAAAGGAGGGAAGCACACATCCTTCCCTGTCTTGATGCAGGAAAAGGAAGCTGCTGCTCTGATTGCAGGATCGCAGAGCAGAATGAACTCTCCCCTCCCCAAGCTTCAAGACAGTATTGCTCTTAACCATGGAAAAGCCCAAAACACCCTTGCCAGTTTCTCAGTGTTCCTGTGAAGAATATGTCACGTAAAGACACACTTTGATTGCATTTCTTGTGTAAGTTCTACTCCTGACTAATTTCCACTTTGAGTAAGGCTATCTCCTAAAGTCTGCATTGTCTGTACTGCTCATCAAACATGAATCTTATTCATGTTAGCCCTTATAGGACACTAGTGACATTGTAACACTGCAGAAGTTACTAACATCCTGTTGAGGCTTCTATAAGGCACAGAACAACAAATCCCTATAGGTCCAGTCACTTGCTGAAAAGAGAGGACTAGCTTTTCACAGTATCTGGATATGTATTTAATAGTGAACCTTCTCGCTAAGCTTCAGTTTTAGATAAACCTTAAACTGGATGCTCTCAGAACTGAAGCACTAGAAGTATTTTTATACTTGTAACTGGCCCCAGGGAAGAACTTCAGTTTTACTAGGAAAAAGGCACAACCTGGAGTATTTCCTTTGGTGAAACTTTCCATACACACAAGAAAATCACAGCTCACCTGTGGTCAGCCCTGCACTTCAAGTGTCGGCCAGCACAACCTTCTGAGTGACAAGATTAACCATGGTGCTGAGACTAATCCTAAGTTTACCTAACCAGCTCCAAAAGAGAATTGTTTATAAAGACTGTCACCTAAGTATACAGCCAGTTTTTATTTTCTGGAAGTAAAGGGAAATTGCAGATGTTCAAAGTAAAACAGTCATATTTGAGCTTTGACTTTAAGAACATTTTCAGGTAAAGGTGAAGTTTATTTCTGCCAAATAATAGAAATCTTGGCTTTTAACTCCCATTTTAAATTGCTTTTATTTAACCAAAATCAGGTAGGAAATCCTTTTTGACTTACTTTTGAGTAATCGTTACCACCTTTAACTGCACAATTCCTTTTTCCCTAAGTTGGATTTAAACTTATAGTGAGATACCTGGTTCCCCTCATCCCTAACTTTTGCCAAAAACAAAACAAAACAAACACAAAAAAAACCAACCCCCAAAAATGTCTGCTGTATTTTTACCAGAAAAACTAAATTTTCCAGTGATATTTTTAAATATCCACCTATATGCACTTTAGACTGTAAAATAACAGTAAATAGTTTAAACTCACAGATCCCTTATTTTGAGTATTTTTTATGGAAACTTGATCTTTTAGTGTAAATATATTTAGGGGTTTTCCCTTTAATCTCAGGCTCTTTATTTGTCCTCCTTGCCAGTGGCATCTATAAAACTCCCATATGCCCACAGCCGTGCCTCACTGTATGGTAGTATTATTTAATAAAACTTAATGTTACAAGAATAATTTTATTGGGGGGAATATGTATACACAAAGCCATGTATATTTTAACTATAAAAAAAGTTACTTTTCCCCCCTCTCTGTGTTAATGGTTTTAAAATTTTCTAGAGTCATTGAGGCTCTTTAAAGAAGCTGTTTCTTCCAAAGAACAAAACCAGGTAATAACATTTAAATGATACGTTTATTGGAATTGTGCCTTTTCTACCATACTGGAGTAAATAAACTTTCCAAAAGGTACAGTTTTGTCACTCTATGGAACACCTGGAACTGTGCTTCTCTCTTCACGTCTGACCCAGCTGACCACCAGCTGCACGGAGTTTGAGTGCTGGTGGATGCAGAGGGAAGGAAGCTCCACCTTCTTGGTTCTTATATAACCATTCTTGCTACCCACCACATGTCTTCCTACCTTTTCTTTTTAAAAATTTGTAGAACCAAATGCCTACTATTTCATTTACATAAACACTAGACTGTTGTTGTTGTGTTCCATTGAGACAGAACCGATCCATAGCTGACCCGGCGGCGGTTTTTCAGAGGCAGTTAATCTCACAGGAGGAGACTGCCCATCCTTCTCCTGCTAGACTACTTGGAGTAAACATTCCGTCCAGAGGGATAATACTAGGCTCTCCTTTTCCTCATCTGTAGGAAGTTTCAGGTCCTTGACAGAAATAGCTGAACTGTTCCAAATTTGCTTCAGTGCATCCATATGTGATAAAGGAAAGCGAAGTCCATGAGACTGAAAAAAAAAGGATGAATTACTTAGTCAAATAAAACCCTTTATATATCACTTAAGTGGTACTTTCACAAACTTCTGCTATTTCATAGAACATTTTTGCATCCCTTTCCAAGTAAGAAACTTGTTTCAAAATAAGCTACTTACATTAATCTAGAATTAGATCATTTATGAAAGTGTCCAACCCTCCTAAGAAAGCTGACTTCACAAAAGGCATGCTAATTTATGTAGTAGGCAAGTCACAGAACTATCTGATGACCATCCCTATGCCAAGATTTTGTCAGCTGTGTGAAAAGCAAGCCCGTATCATTCATAGCCTAGCACATAGCCCTTAAAGAAAAGAGAGCCACCACCCAAATCATATGACATGGAACAAACCTCCGGATCCTCATTCCCCATCATGTGTGTGTCTCTGCTATTTCTTAAGGAGTGATAGATATAAACCATTTTTTCTTGAGCTTCATCCTTTAAAAAACAAGTGTTAATAACAAGACTTGTATAGTTTAATAGGTCAACAACAAGAAAACTTCTAAGATCTTGGTACTTAAATTTATTGATTAAAGAATCCTTACACAAAGTAAAGCATTTGTAAATTATAGTCACCATACACTGGTATTTGTATGCAGCATATAATAGGCACTCTTTTAAGTCACTTTTTTAAAATGCTGTACTCTGGTGGAACATTTTTTAGGAACTTGTGTTAATGAAAAGCAACATTTACATATCAACTTATTAATGAACATTGTTTCATTACTGAATTTTTCACATTAAAAAAATGATATCCTGTTTCCATGAAGTTTAGAATCTAGAAATAATCCCTATGAGGCAGTTCTATCACACAGTGTCATCTAACAAGTGCACATACACTGAAAATGTATGGACACTGAGGAGTAAGTATTAACTCTTCAACACCAGCTGTATAATTTAGGAATACTTCCATTACAGCCGCTTCCCCACATGGCCTCTACTTATTTTCATTCTCCATCCTACATAATAGTTTATCTAAGAGGTTACAGAAAGTGACAAAGGCCAAATATTTTCACCTGACAGATGAAGTCACATACAAGTGTATTCTAGAATAACTAGGAATTTTAAAAAAAGAGAGAGAGAGAGAAACTGCACTGCAATCCCAGAGGTATGCGGTTCGAATCCACCAGATGCTCTGCTAAACAAAGGGCAATCTCCTCCTGTACCAGTCAGATCTGATTTGACAGTACACACACAAAAAAATAATAATAAAAAAAAATTAAAATAAAAAGATGTAAGAATGACATTTTTAAGGCTTGAGTATATGTGTTATACATGCATACAGACACATGCCTGGTATCTAGGTAGGTAGATGGTGTTGGCCTAACACACATTTTGCACTACCAGCTGCTGTGCAGAAGAAAGACAGGCAGTCTCCTCCTGTAAAGATTCACAGCCTCATCATCTCAGTACAGGGTTGCTATGAGTTGGGATCAACTTAACAGCAATAGGTTTATTATTATAAAATCTGTCCTCCCTAGATCTGGTCCTGATGCTAGAATAGTCTGGTTGTGCAGCCTCTCGATGCCTCTCATCCTCCTGAGAGAGGGATCACTTGTGAGTCTTGCTAACTTATGGCCTATAGTATAACTACCGTGAGAAGAGGAAGGTTTTTCCTTCAGGATACTTACAGATTGATCCTGATCTGGCCCTACTGTGAGGACCATGTGCTCTTTAAACTGTAATCTCACAGTGCTGTCCAACCGTGGTAATGATCCACCTAGAAAAAAACCCCAAAATAAAAATGCCATCCTTCAAAAAGGAAACCAGAAGATTCAGACTACTTTACAAGTACATCAAATGTAGGGTGCCCTTTCTAGTTCAAGTATTTACATACCCCAGAATTTGTCTTGTTATAGAAAGTACTGTTTCTATCCTCATGGGATTTATATTCTTATATCCTCACTCTTTCAGTGAAGACAGACTCACAGATAAGTAACAATTTAAGTTCACTAAGTAGATAGGAATCCATTCAAGCCGCTCCAATGAAGACAGTTTGGAGTTTTCTCAAAAAGTTGAACACAGAAATTCCATATGACCCAGCTATATCACTAAGAATATACCCCAAGGAAATGAGATCTGAGACAAACGAAGATTTGAACACCAATGTTTGTTCATAGCAGCTTTATTCACAGAAACAGCCCAAATGTCCAATCATAACCTAATGGCTTGAGAAATTGTGGTATGCACAATGCAATACTATGCAGCACTCAAGAACAACGATTTTGAGAAAAAATATTACATAGGAGAAGCTGGAGAGCATTATGCTGAGTAAACTAATGCAGTCTCTTAAAGACAAATACTGCATAAGATGATTATTTTAAAAATAATTAGCACACAGGTACAGGAACTCAAAAGGGGGAGGGAGAAGCAGAGGGGTGAGGATAGGTAGGGGTGAAACTACAGGGCTGCATAATTTGGTGGGCAGAGGAGTGGGGAAGGAAATGGGAAGGTTCCAGGAAAAAAGGGCAATGATGGGCAAGGGCCCATGGTGATTAATTTTATAAAACTTAATGCATGAGAATGATTGTATGAAAAACGATGTGAATAAAGAATACTGGGAAACTCAATGTATAAAACCTTTGTAAGCAAAGCAATTTTTTTTAAAGTGTAAAGATAGGAAAGGCAATCTCCTCCTGTGGAAAGTACAGCCTCAGAAACTCAAAGGAGCATTGGCTACAAATCAGTTCTGATTCTATTACAATGAGTGAATGAAATAGATATAAACTATACCATGAAAGCAAGAAAGCTGTCATAAAAAGACCCATGTACAGATCACTCCCACTTCTCTGATTTCTCACTTCCACCTGCTTCTTCCTCTATCCATGGACTCAGGGAAAGCTCTGTCTTTGTTCAAATTCTACTACCTCCGCAATTACTAGTTCCATAACCCTGGCATTTTATTCAGCTCAAGCATAGTGTCAAACACCTTCCTAGCCAGGAATAAAAGATACTCTGATTAAAAAATAATAAAATTTCCTCTTTGCAAATGATTCGATCCTATACATACAAAATCTCAGAAAGTCCATAAGAAAACTTCTAATAAAAGATTTTAGCAAAGTTGCAGGGTACATGATCAACAAAAATCTGTTGGTTGTCTATATATCAGCAATGAGAAATACGAAAGGGAACTGAGAGAAACAATCTGATATACAATAGCATTTAGGAATAAATCTAACCAGGAACATGAGGAACTTATACAATGAAAACTATAAAAACACTGCTGAAAGACAGTAAAGAATATAAATGAAGATGATGCTTCATGTTTATGGATTAAGTTAAGATGTCAACAGTATCCAAAGCTACTTAGCGATTAGTGAAATCCCAGAATGGCAATGAAACTTGGCAATTTTTACCTTACAAGAGATAAAATGAGAACTGAGTAAAAAAAGCAGAATCTCGGTAGCATTCACAAAGAAGAGTGAAGAGCATCATTTAGACTCAGTTTCCTGCTCTGGGAACATTCAAGACTCAGGAGAAGCTGACACCAAAACACATGGACTCTCCAAGGACACGCTATCTACAGATGCTGAAAGGAGACAAGGACCTTCGCCTTAGAGTTGGCACCTCGACTTTAGACTTCAAGCTTCCTAAATTATGCAAGAATAGATTTTGGTTTACTAAAGTTACCCATTTGTGGTGCTTCTGCTATAACAGCTTTACGTAATTCAGAAAAAGGCTCTGAGCTAAGCATTGCTTTAGCAATGAGAACTTCAGCCTCATTTATTTAGTCCTTCCTACATCTTAAATAAGGAACCCTGCTGGTAAAATGGTTACATATTCAGCTGCTAACCAACATGTTTATGGTTAGAGCCTACTCAGCAGCTCCCCAAGAGAAGGACTTGCTCCCGGAACGGTCAAAGCCTAGAAAACTTTGGGGCAGGTTAACTCCGTCACAGCCACTATGAGTAAGAACTGGCTCAATGGCACCAAAAACAAACCATCTAGACTTACTGAGATGCTCAATCCACTTTCTGACAACACCCAATCCAAATTAAAACCAATAAATTTTGCCTTGAGTACAGGAATATGGTCTTAATTTTCTTTTCCAACTACTAGAGATATTGTAGCTGATGTTAGATGGATCTTGGCTGAAAGCAGGGAATACTAGAGGAATGTCTATCTGTGCTTCATTGACTATGCAAAGGCATTTGACTGTATAGATCATAACAAACTGTGGCTGACTCTGAGAAGAATGGGAATCCCAGAACACTTGATCGTTCTAATGCGAAACTTATACTTGGACCAGGAGGCAGTCGTCAGAACAGAGCAAGGGAACACTGCATGGTTCAAAATTGGGAAGGGCGTACGCCAGGGATGCATCCTATCTCCATACCTCTTCAACCTATATGCAGAACAGATTATCCGGGAGGCTGGGCTCTATGAGGAGAAATGTGGGGTCAGGACTGGTGGACGATTTATCAACAATCTGCGTTACGCAGATGACACAACCCTGCTTGCTGAAACTGAGGAGGACCTGAAGCACCTGCTGCAGAGTGTCAAGGAGTGCATCCTGCAATATGGATTGAGGCTCAATGTCAAGAAGACAAAGATTCTCACCACTGGACCAATCGGCAGCATCAGGATGGATGGTGAAGAGATTGAGATTGTACACAGCTTTAGTTTGCTTGGCTCCATAGTCAACAGTCTTGCCACCAGCAGCCAGGAAATTAAAAGGTGCACTGCCATGGGAAAGTCTGCTGTTAGGGACCTCTCCAAAGTGCTGAAGAGCAGTGGTGTCTCTCTGGAGACTAAGGTGCGTCTTATACAGGCCATGGTCTTCGCAATCACCTGTTATGCATCAGAGAGTTGGACAATGACCAAGGAGGATAGAAGGAGAACTGATGCCTTTGAGCTGTGGTGCTGGAGAAGAGTACTGAGAATACCATGGACTGCTAGGAAAACAAATAGATTCATCCTGGAGAGGGTTAAACCGGGTGGCTCCTTGGAGGCAAGGATTCTGAGGCTCCGTCTAACTTACTTCGGACATGTAGTGAGGAGAGACCGGTCCTTGGAGAGGGACATCATGCTTGGGAGGGTGGAGGGACGGCGCAGAAGAGGAAGGCCCTCTGTGAAGTGGATTGATTCAGTGACTGGGGTAATTGGGATGGGAGTGTCGGAAACAATGCGATTGGCACAGGACAGAGCGGAGTTTAGGGCTGTTGTACATAGGGTCGCTATGAGTCGCAGGCGACTCGACGGCACATAACAACAAACAACATATCTCTAAATATACATGGTTCTCATTTGAACATGGCTTTAATTCTAATTAAGCTCAGATGTAAGGTCTTCTGCAAATGACTTGTAAGAAGCAAGATGCTAAATGCTGAGCGCAGCAAGTATAATCCAATCACAACATACTATAGAGCTAGGACCACATTAATAGTAAATGCTCCATAGTGTCCATCTACTCAGGAGTCCACCTGAGAAAGCCTGAAATGTCCCACCGTAGCCTTTAGTCACCTAGAAGTAAACAGCAAAGCTCTACCTGGTGTGAAAAGCTCTGCTCTGTCTCCATCATGGTAAGGTGGTAGTCTATTCGTTACAAAATCCTTCTTCATGTCCGATGAAAGCAGCTCTTGGGTGCCCTCCAGCCGATCTGCAATCATCCTCAGAAACCCACCTAATCTTGTTCTAAGAGTTTTGCTTTCCACCTGCTAGAAAATACAGAAATATGCTTTCATGTAAGTTCATGATCAGAACTTAATGTCCAGGTTATAGTTTCCAGTCATTTGCTAAGGACAGAACCCCAGGATAGACTCAATCCACAGTGAGATAAGGACCAGGCTGAGGTTCTTAGGACCTAGATCCCACTATTTCCTTATGACCACTGTTCATCTTGAGCTGTATGTTGCTTCTCTGGGTTTTGCCTGGGAAGAGGAATCCCTGGAAATACAGTGAATTCTCAGTTGTCTTTTGAAGAGCAAGTTTCTGTCCTAACGTGCTGCTTCAGACAGTGAAGACAAACTTTGTTCCCCTTAGACTAATTCACTCATCTTCTCAAAACTAGGCATACAGTACCCCATAAAATCATAAAACAAGGCCAGGGAAATCAAGAATGCACCAAGGCCGGGATCTCCACTGTATGTCTCCTAATTCGTAACCTGGTAAGTGTTGCACCTACGGACATCGGTCATGGCCACATCAGTTACTTATCCAGCTCATCTTCAGCTAATTGTGCCTCCAATGCCTGTTACAGTCACAGTGAAATGGATGAAAAACACATTTTCTACAACACCCCAGTGATCTAGATCACCACCCCACACACTCTATTCCTTCGGTATACCGTATACCCTGGCAAGTCAGTGCAACAGAAGACAAGTTTGCTTCATCTGAGCAGGATTCTGGAGTCTCTAGCAAGGCAGGCCATGGCAGGCACCTACCTCACTTCATTTCTCATCTACCTCTACTCCTTACCAAAAGCAGCTGCCGAGGTAAGCCAGCACGTAGCTCTATGTCTTCCTTTGCAGTGTCAAACACAAGCCCAGGAATGGTATCCAAAAGGAAATCTCCCCATGAACTGGAAAATGGAACAAGAAAAAACCAACAGTGAGCACATATAAAATATACTAGATAAGCAGTATCTCCCATGTGATTCACAGTCTCTGAAAACTCACTGGAGGGTCAACTGTGTGTCCTCTCTGACTTGTAGGCATTTAACACCAACACCACTAATTCCCAGTAAAGTAATAAACTACAGCTTGGGTTCCAATGTTCCTTCCTGTTATGGATTGATTTGTTCTCATTCAAAATGTGCTGGGATCTTAACACTTTACCTGTGGATAGAACTTTTCTGTGTTGTCAATGAAGCCCTATCAATATTAGGGTACACCCTAAATCTAATCACGCCTAAGAGTAAGCACAAATCAGGAAAGACAGATGCCAAGTGAAGGTTACCAGGAACCAAGGAAGACCAAAGCAGTGCCTGTAATTTGGAATTTCAGCTGCAGAACTAAGAGAATAAATTTCCGTTTTTTAAAGTCACCCATTTGTAGAATATGTGTTACAGCAGTGTTATTAACTATACTACAGCCAAGCAGTTGGCGTTCAATTTGACATTACTCAGCAAGAAAACTTAAAACCTTCATGAAGCATACCTCCCTTGTCATTTCCAGACACTCACTAAGATAGTTAAAGGAGAGAATCATAGTTTCAACCATAATTTAATGAATCATACACTGTCGTAAAACAGGAAGTACAGGTGAAAAATGTTGGTTTTTTAAAATATTTATGTTACAAATATCTGTAGAGAACCTCAGAGCAAATTTTTCTGAAGTCTAGAATTTAGCTAAAATTATGTACAATCCAAAAATGAATCTATCTGAAGTAACAACCATATCCTTGTACAGTGGAAATACGTGAAGCTGAATATTACATTTTCCTCTATTATAATTAATTATTGTAAAAGAGGATCATTTTTCTCAGTAAAATGTCCACAGCATTAACAATTTAAAAGCAACTGCAGCTTGTTAACCATTACCAATAGTTTTACTGGGGTAAAAGGTAGAAGCCAGTGGCCAAAAATAACAAGTAGGAATAAGCCTCAGTGCTCAATTACCTGTGTGTTCTCAGGGGCATTCAGAACCGGCTCACTGCTCAATGAGTGCACTGTGCGAGGTGCACTCTGTAGGACTTCTCTCTTTAAACATTTCTGAGCTGTTTAGAATTTTCCTCTGTGTCACCAGTGGATTTCACATTGCCAGCTATGTGCAAAATGGAAATTCACAGCATGGTTTTTGCTTCTCATTCAGTAAGCAAAAGTAGCACTTTTCATGCCTCCTGTCGGGGAAAGTGGCAAAGGAGGACAAAAGCCACATGAGAAAGCCTTTTTTCTAAGACGTCCACTGCCTGGCAGCATCGCTGCTTTACAACTTAATGTTACATCTGACCTCACATTTTTATTGGCATCAAGCTGGAGGACACATACAGATCTTTAAGGAGCATAAATCCCGCTGCTTGCTTCCCCAAGTTATGGGTGGAAGTCACACAGCAACAGCTCAAGGAGGAAGTCAAACAGCAGTTCAGCAGTGCTTTGTGATCTTCAAAGCATCAGACTAATCATGGGACTTTCCAATTATTAGGACTCACACCTCTTTGAGAGTACACTTTGATAAAACAGCCAAATCAACTCGCTATTGTTCCCACACCACAGTCTCCATCCTATCACAATCGTTTACAGAGCAACAGACTCAAAGCACAACTAGTATCATTGAGGAACAAAGGTTCTCGTGTTTTCCCAGATCACAACAAAGGCACATACACACAACAATCCCAACACTCATCCACAGCCCTGGGTACCCACTTGTGCAACTTATGAAGGCCTTCCATGACCCTAGCTGCATGAACTAAGGATGAGCATGACCCAGGGGCAGACACTCAGATTTTCACAGTAGGGGTAGGCAAACAGCAAGTCTGACAGTTAACAGCAGAAGCAAAGCTAACAAGTCTTACACAGGAAACTAAAGGAATAAGCAAGTAAGACAGTCAATAGACATAGAAGCAACTAATGGTAGCTTACAGTGGACTTGAGGAAATAGAAATTTAAAAGGCAATGTTGTTGTTATGTGCCGTCGAGTCGTTTGCGACTCATAGTGACCCTATGTACAACAGCCCTAAACCGTGCTCTATCCTGTGCCAATCTCATTGCCTCTGACACACCCATCCCGATTACCCCAGTCACTGAACCAATCCACCTCATAGAGGGTCTTCCCCTCCTGCGCTGTCTGAAAGAAAAAAAGCAAGCGGTGGAAAACCAGATGGTGTCATAAGACAGACACAAAGACAGGAGAAGAAGTGGCTAAGTAATACTAATAGTGGGACACCATCACATGCCTGGATGTTCACAGGGCAACTCAGAGGCTGATGGGGTTGAATCCAGTGGCCTTGAATCCAGAATGAATCCAGAGGCTGCAGCCTCTCTCTGCTTTCACCTATGGCTCACTCTCTTGAGTGCCCCCGCCATGGAGGTAGCCTGAGTGACTTACTATTGCTCACTGTACAGGCATGTTGACAAGAATATTTTTCATAAAGCAGAAGTGTTGACCTTCTTTTCCAGGGCAAAGGCAGTACTAATTTAGCTCAAGCTTTAACGTGGTTCTTCTAATAAGCCTGTTAAACACAGAGGCTTATTTATTATTCAAATACCAGATGAGAAAGCAGAGAGAGATGCTTACCAACTTGTTTTGCAAGTTACAGCTTTGATGGAAGGAGGGGTCCTGCTGTCCCTTGGGCCTGTCCTTTGCTCTCTTACTCTCACTTCAGACCCGCCCCTGCCTATGCATCTTTTATTCAACTTTGATGTCATGTAATTTCTAAAGGCTACCCTGATGTCCCAGCTTATTTAAATGCCTTCCCATGTTCCAAGAGTCTCCTTTGTAAGTAAATGATAGCATGTATCACACTATTTGGTAGCTAGTTTCTTATCTATCTCTCCTCTCTCACTTCCCAAGTAGAAGTTCTTTCATAGATCCTTCAATACAATGTTTGCTTTTCCATCCAGCAGCAAAGGGTCTAGTATCTGCTCACTGCTTAATTAATAGCTTGTGTTCTTCAAGGCAGTGTGGACTCTGATTACTGCTTTTAGGAGGTAACATACTATGTACTCCCAGTCAATCATTTAACAATGCACTTAGACACAGAAAGCCAGGGTTTTTTTGGTTGGTTTTTTTTTTACAGAGGTTTTGGATTTCCATTCATTCATTGCTGCAATTTTCTCCGTGCCCACCCCTCCCCACCAGCTCGCTTCCCCCTCCGAAGAGAGAAAAAAAAAAGAAAAAAATTCCTTCATTAGTATACAATTCCCACATCCCTTCCCCCCTCCCCCCACCCCGAATACACTTCTCTATGCAACCTTAATTCTGGATTCCTGCACTAACCACAATACTCAATCATATATCACTTCCATGGTTTTAATTGGACTCTTCAAATATATGTACTTTTCAGTCCCCATGGTTCCAGAACTGCCTTTCTGACTTTAATTTCATGGCCTGTAAAAAGGGGAAATTTTATCTAAAGAAAGACTGTGATCCCAGTCTAGCATCACTAATACACTGCAGTTACAGTTCTTTCTTTCCAAATTACTGGATGCCTTATTTGGCCAAAACAAGGCAGAGATAGTAGCAATGGCACAGGAAAGGGCCAAGTTCCAATCTTTTGTTCACAGAATCACTATGAATGAATCATAGCTAACGAGCTGGCAGCTAATAGCAGTAACTATTTGCTATCTCTTATAGAGTCAAGTTCATAACATTAACATAAGGGTCAAGCTCACTGATGAGAAACTGGTGAGCTGTCGAAGTCAGCAAAGAAGACTGAAGTTCGAGGTTTGAAGAAGCAAGGATAGGCGGTGGCCAAGTTTCTTATGCCCCTCTGAATAAGGTGGTTGTGGGCCACAGGTCAGAGCCATCCCAGAATACTAGGCTGGGAGAAGAAATGTTTACCTGTTCTGATAGGTGCTGATGGTCACATGAGTAGAGTGGGCCAGTCCTGGAGGAGTGTCTGCTTGGTGAATGGTCCCTCTGGGAAAGTAGAGCAAATCACCTGGCTAAAGGAAGATCAAAAAGAGACAAGGGGAGTTAATAAGGATGTGTACTTTATCGGTCACCTTTATTTTAAGAAGATAAATGCAGGCTCTCAGTTTCAGTTCTCCATTACAGACACCACCCGTTAGTGATGCCAGGGGTGGAGTGTATGCTGGTCTCCCATGGTATCTAGGTAGCCTAGCATTATCGTGAGCCCACCACAGGAAGACACACTCTACAAAAGGTTCTGGGTACCTAAACACACTTTATTCACAGATTGAGAGCAGAAAGACATGGAACACTTCCCCTAAAACCACATCTCAAAGGAGGAGAAATTCTATGCCTGGGATACATGCTTTCTCCCTCCTACTTTCCTGTCCAATTACACAGTCCTTAAGAGTCATGCAGGATCTGCCACTTACTGGCTGTTGATCTGTGCAAGTCAGTTAACCCCTAAGCTTGAGTTTCTTTATCTGTAAAATAGAGTTAATACTCCTATAACCCGACAGGATTATTATAAGAGGATTAAAAGAGATACTGTAGGGGAGCTCTGGTGGCCTAGTGGCAAGGAGCTGCAACTACAATGCCAGAGGCGCACGGTTCGAATCCACCAGATGCTCTGCTGGGGAAGGAGGGGCAATCACCTCCTGTACCAGTCAGATCTGATTTGACAGTACACGCACACAAAAATAATAATTAAAAAAAAAAAGAGAGAGATACTGTAATCATGATTCTTGGGGCAACAGTAAGCATGTGTCTGTATTAAAATTATTATTTTACCTAGTAATTCTCCATTCTTGACAGTGTATAGTCCCTCCTCCAATACTAAAGTGGCTTTAATGAAATAGAAAAAGCAGACTACAACAATTATTTTTTTTCGTATTTATATATTAGGTCTGTAGTTTCCACATTCGGTTGGGTCG